AGCTGGATGCAGCACTCCATATCATAGTTACGCTGCAGAATATGTTGATTTTAGCTTTGATGTTTATACCTGGCAACTCCAAACTAGCTTGCTTAGGCTTCTACAGCATCATAAATGCCTTGGAGTGGAAGCTCTAGCAACTTTTTCTTGACCCCAATAAGTGGCTTAATTTCTCCTCAGACCTGAAAACTGCTTTAGGTCCATGTTGCCACAGCTGTACTCTTACTGACTGTACCTGAACTGCCTAGATAGCAACCATCTGGGGTGTTGATTACTTATGCTGTAACCTAGGTACTGTACCCTAAAACTGCATTATATTGCCCATAATCACATCTGCTGTTGTCCAGTTTTCTTAGTATTTTGTAAGGGCTGTTTGCGATAGCTTTAACCATAGTTCTGTTGTTTTTAAAAACTTGTCTCTTCATTTCTTGAGTGGCATAAAGCCAATTAAATAAGCCAGAACTGCTGCCTGACTGAATGAAAGTGTCTGAAATAATGATCATCAGAAAAAGTTAAACTAAAAACCTTTTTCATTGTGTTATTGGAAGTTAAGGCAGCTATAGGTCTGCAATACTGCCATCTATTATGCCCCTCTGCATATTCATAATTCTTTATTTCCAGAATTCCCCATTCTCTTTATCTGAAAGATGCACAAGTACCTGAGACGTCACCTGATGAGCACGTTGCTTTGCCTTTAACCGTAATTAAACATGATGGATAGAGGAGCAAGAGGGAGAACAAGAGAAAAGTTGTCTACAAGACAGCAGTGTTGTGTTTGGTTGGATTTTTACCAGGAAACCACCACTGTGACTACCTGCTGTCTTTGTGTAGCAGAAAACTTACAGCTTTGAACCTAGAGAATTAGCCCTGTCCATTGCATCATAATGAACAACTACTAATTAAAGACAGTACTTATATCCCAGGACGTATGTGCAGTACAGTGGAGGAAGGTAATGATCACGTTTGGAGATGAAGGTGCAGATACAAGAAACATTCTGAATTAAACACATTGCCCGTGATGAGATTTGTTAAAATGCAACAGTTTTCTGCCTTACCAAAGACCATTCTTTCTAATGGACTCATCAACCATAAAGGGAAAGGATTACTCTGTAAAATGTAATCTTTCTAAATAACTGACAAAATAGTCAAGTACTTGCATGCCTAAGCATTTTACATGTTTCAGTGAACAGAATGCTTTTGTGTTCATTTAGTCAAGTGTTAAATATGTTTTAAGGCCCTGAGAACAGCATTTCAGAGCTGCTTTCTGGAACGCATTTTTGTGATGAAATTATTTGTCAGCTGATGATTGCCGGGAAGTAGAACAGACATTATTTACTTCAAATCATCAGATTCTACTTAGCTCAGTAAGAGGAAAAAACCCCCCACAATTATGTATGTCAGGATGTAAAGCTAGAAAAACAGTCAGAGCACTATGCATCCAGAGTGCGTTATGGAAATCTTTAAATAATGTTCTTTTTGTCAAATTAGTATTTTATTTCTATGCTTTTCACAGTAGTAAGCCTTTTAACAAGGACCAGGAGGTCAGTGCTTCTCGGTTTGGGTGGAGCAAAATTAATAGAGACCATGGCAATGTCTTGCTTACACATGCTTTTTGCCCAAGCTGCCTTTTGATTCGTTCTTAGGGGTTTTTATGTTTTCAATTTAGCCACTTTTCTTATGACTGATCACAACTGTGATGCAGTTTGCCCATCCAGCTAAGAAGACTGAGCTTTAAGATCTGATTATTTTAATCACTAATTTACTTTTGATTTCTTTTACAAGGGTTACTACAATTTAGCATGTAGAATTTTCAAATACACCGCTCCAGTGAACAAACTGCATCATGGTGGAACCCGTTAGAATAGTTTTATCATTGAAGAGTGAAGATCAGCTCTTCTCATGTGACCGTTTTACATACCTAAAAAACTGAAAGAACATTGGTCATTAATTAGCTCTGGCGCTTGGAAAATAGGAATTCTGCTGGTTGTTATATTTTGTAGTACTTCTGCCCTCATTCGAACAGCAGTTCTGAGCATGGTGGGAGTGTTTTTCTTTTGCACTCCTGAAATCCCCAGCTTTCAGAATTCTGCTGTTAAATGAACAGGAAACTAGTATGCTGCATGTATCAGATTGCATCCCCAGAGCCACTTCAGTCCGAGAGTACGCACGTGTGGTTAACAATATAGCTTCAACTGTTTACAACATACCCAGGACTCTCCAAAAAAGCTGATCTTGGTAGTTAAAAAAATAGCTTGTGTTACCCATTACTTTCCTGATAAGACCTTTCATGAGTCATTAATCTTCATCTGCGTCAGATAAGATCCAACGTACTGCAGTATTACCAGACATGCCTCTTGCAGCTACACAGAATGAGTGGTTTGTGTTGCCAAAAAAAAAAAAAGGCATTAAAAAAAAAAACCAACCCCACACCACCACCCCACCCTTGTTCTGCTGTCTGCAAAACAATTCTGTGCCAAATATTTAGCTAGTCATTCATTTTCAGCCCATTTCCAGTACTGGAATTTTCTGGATACAGTGTCATTTATATTTAGAAAGATTTCATAACTTTTTTGTTAACTGTCTAAACGAGACAGTGATCTCACATTCCACAATGAAAATTAGGAAAGAAGAAAATAAAAAACCTATTAGAAAATGTTTTCCTTCTTTGAACTAAAAGAAGTGAAGCTTACCTTTCCAAGTGAAGCTGATCTTCCCAAACTCTGCATAAAGGGAGTGCTTATGCATCCTGAGTTTTTAATTTTGGTCAGTTTATACAGAAAAGGTAACTGGACGTGATGACACAATACTTTCCTGACTTCACTGGGAATGGGATTTGCTCTGAAATGCCGCATTAAATACAGAACACTTCAGGGACAGAAGGGATTATGTGACATTCGTGTTGGTGGTGTTATTCAGAGACCCAAAAAGAGCTTGCTAGTATTAACTGTGTATGAAAACCAGTACATTGATTTGTAGAAATTAGTACTGTCCTGCATAAAAACGAAGACACTGCGTGTGTAGAATGACTGCACATTGTGACTGCAAAATAACCGCGCGAGACGGGCCACTTCTGAAAATTTACCTCGTTGAATTTACTTGTTTCAGACACAAAGTGATTTTCATTAAAGCCATTTGTGTAGGAAGCTCTTCTGCAGTTCTCCCAGCATTTCTTTCTCTAAGGAGCACTTTCTGGTGTCCTTCTGACATCCGACGCCAAAGCATTACATGGCACTTTAAATAGCTTACGATGCAGCTTATTTCTCTGTTTCTTTCCAGAAGAGATATGTACCCTTGTAATTGCAGAGACATTTCCTGAAGATTCAGGACTTTTCACATGCACAGCAACAAATGAACACGTTTCAGCAACAAGCAGCGCGCAACTAACTGTCTGTTCAGGTATGTGACGAAGGGAAAAAAAACCATAGATCTTAGATAATTATCTTAACTGTGAAGTTATCAGCCTGCTTCCTCGCAGAAAAGGGCCACTGTAAGATGGGGGGGTTGTCAGCCCCGAAGCATCCATATGAAACTAACTCAATTTATTATCTATTGGCCCATTTCCGAGTTTAATATTTTTATTAATGTAAAATACACTTTTAAAATGTCTGCCACAAGCCTGGCAGATTTTTAAGGATTAGGGTTCTGAGACTAGATGGCAGCAGAGGCAAAACGAAAACAGCTGAAATTATGCTCCCAAAGGTGGCATATGCCTTTTGTAAAATGCAGAACTGTGGCATGGTATGTTTAGCTTTGCAGTATGTTTACATACATATCGTCATGGAATGCATTAACCCCGCTGCCATTGCAAACGTGCCATGTAAACGTGCATCCTTCTGCATTTTTAAATGATTTGTTCTTAAACGATTCTGAGACTGCAGGAAGAGGAAATGCTGTTTCAGCTGTTGTTGTCTGCACTTGCCAAGCTCAGTGGCTGGATTCCTGAAATAGATTTAGAGGGGTCTGTAACATTCCTTATTGTGCCTTTTGCATGGGGCAACATCAGAAAATGAATAGCCGGTCATGTAACTAATTCAGCATAAATTATGAAAAAGAAGTCTAGAAAAATAACTGCACAGAACCAAAAGATCTCACCTTTAACAAACTGAAAATACAGTGGGTATGTACCATGCACTCTGTTGATCACTTGTAGAAGTGACATTCTTTTTGATTTCTTTTAGCCAGTTCAGAAAGCTCTAGTCATGAATCACTGGCAAGGGAATCCAACAGTGATGATTTCCATCAATTCTCACCACCTCCTCCCGTTGAAATTAGCTCTCTTGAGCTTCCTCCTAAGAAACATACAGAGACCAACCAAGCAAACAACAGCGAGCTGAGATCTGATGTGACAGCCTTTCAACCACAGCTCAATTCATCTGAGGAAAAAACAAATGGCATCCATCCCATTCATGGAGTAAACGGAATGATTAACAGCAAGCCAAATGGTGATAAATCCATCCCACCTCCAGCTGTCTTGCTTTCACCCACAAAGGAGCCACCACCTGTGCTTGCCAAACCAAAGCTGTGAGTATTTTTTTGTTTTGTGGTTGTTGAGGGGTTTTTTTTTTTGTTTCTTATAAACTTGATATTTGTTGAAAGCAAATTTTTGCCTGGAGCAAATTGGTGTTAGACAAGTAATGGACAATGGCTGTGCCTGCCCCTTGAACAATCTGCTTACTGCTGTGATTTATGTCCTAAAGAGCAGAGCACAAGAGAGAACTGTGTTCTTTCTCATAGTGCTACATCTAAGGGACACACGTTACACGTACCTAATTGTATGGAAAGATTTAAGATAAAGTCACCAAAAAAAAAAAGGAGTGGTGTTGGCTGTTGCTCTGTGTTCTTTATTCTCAGTCGTTGTACCTGAATGTCACAGTGGCCTGAGATTCTTAAAGCTACTCCTCTTTCAGCACTGGTTACCTATCTTTATTCTGAATGTTCTTGCTTTTCTGCAGACGGTGGATATTCAGGTGTTTAATGCCTGTGTTGTTTCTCACATTACATTTATATGCAACACGTTACTACTTCTGCTGTCAACCAGATTACAATGGCTCTGTTAAAAGTAAAAATTTGAAAAGGAAAAGCTCAGGAAGAGGGGAGAGAAATAAGTGGAGAGAAAAAAACCCCATATTAACATTTCTACCTTATGTTAGTTATGATACCTTACTTACGCAAGAGTGAGCTTATGCCGACTGTTAACTTAGAGCTGGTTTTTAGCACTGTGCAGACTCCTCTTTTCCGTCTCCCTCAAGAATTTTTGGAGTGTGACACGGGAACTATAACGCTAGGTTATTTCATTTGTATCAATAATCAGAAGGGATTATTGATTACAAAGATGGTTTTAAGACAAAGCATGAAATATGGTCCTCAAGCTTAGCAAGGTCATTTGCTTAATTACGTGCTCTCACAGGATAACTTGCAAGACATAAAAATGCTGTTCTTTTAGCAATTGTGCTAAAAGCACACCAAATACCAACACTTGAGGCAGCAAGCAAACAGGGTTCCCTTGCTGCGCTCACCGTTTTATTCTTTCTGTTGCTCTTTCTTATTCTAAGCAGTTTCTGACGATTGTAGAAGAGAAAAAAAGAGTGGAAGAAGTCGAAAGAGTGGTGGGATGACAGTATATATGGTGGTGATTGCTTGGGAGGTTGCTGAGGATGGCAGCTTTCAGATGATGTGTGACGTAGAGTGAGCCAGGTGATGCTGTACCCAGGACATCTACTGCAAGACCCGTTGGTGAAGGAACGAGATCGCAGCTCCAGTGGAGCAGCAAAAAGCAACTTTTACCCCAGAGCTTGCTTTGCCAGAAGTCAGGTTACCCTAGTCCGGGAAAGAAGGCTGCGTAATAGAATTCCTGTTGTACAATGTTCACTGCTACTTGTGCAAAATCCGTTTTGTTTTCAAACATCGAGTCAATGTATAGAGGTGAGCACTGCATACGATGATGTGAGAGGGTTGCTATTACAAGAATCCTTTTGGTTGCTGATGTCCAAACTCATGACCTTGGAATCCCTAGTGCAACTGCACGTGAGTCCTCTATTTTGCCATTAACAACACTTGATGCGCAAGAGACTGATCTTGTTTGCGGTCAAGACATATGTTTTGCTTGGCCAAAGCCTGTGTAAATCTATGCTGCTGTCAGAAATTGAAATCTTGCCTTCCCCTCAGCCAAGTATTTTTTTCCCAAGCGTAGTGATAGCATAAGGAAGGGAAGGGGCGCTAACAGGAGGATGAAAAGGACTGGCTGGCTGCAGAGACTTGAAATCAACTTTCAGCATTTGGGAAACTGCATCCCACGTCGAAGTTAACAAAATAATTGCATTGAATTAGCTGAGCTGTAAAGTGGCTGTCTCAGCCATGAGAGCCATCCCTCTTGAAGAGAACTGATCTAAGGAGTTGTGTCTGCCCACAGAGTACGAGTATTCAGTGATAGAGGCAGCATGTATTAGCAATGCTATAACATCAAAAATATTTATTATAACTTTTTAAAATTATTTAAACATTTAAAGTTATGTTGACTATGTAGAAAGCTTGAAGCTTCTGAATAAGTGAGTTTTATTTTTAATGAAGACTGACTCTGATTTTAAATTTCCTAAAGAACCTTTTCTTTTCAAGCTGACCTTAACCCATAACAGGTTTATCTGTGAACTCTTGAAAACAGTTTATTCAGCCAACACTGAAAGTCATTGCAAAGAGTTTTGAGAATCATGGGCTGGGTTTGGTTTGGTGTTTTATTAGTACTAGTATTGTTGGTTTGAAAAGGCAAGATTGATTAGCTTCTTGAAGTCTGAAATGCATTTTCACCTTTGCAATGCAGCTGTAAGCAACACCTACATATAATGATAAACCACAACTCAGTTCGGTGCAAGAGCTGGTATGCTACAGAGAGTTACTGTAGTTGTTCTCAGGCTTGGAAAGTGTTTTTAACGTCATATGAGATGCTCAGTTTGTGATTACAGACACCCAAGTAACCCTCAGGCCATAATACCAGCTGTTGCCTCAGTCTGGTGCTGAGAATACTTAAAACAGGGTTTAATGGGATAATATACAGAATTTTCTGGGAAAAGTATATACAGAATTAACTGGGAAAGCAGACAATACCGAGTATTTTGCTAACATGTAATTTAGAAGACAGTAATACTAAATATGGTTAAAAGGCACAATATTTTATCACGCTTTGTTTGCAACATGGGTTTGTATAGGCAAGAGAGGAACAACTGTTGAACTGAGACCAAAAAACCCAGATTTCTGCAATTCTGATCTCTGCAGCTGTGATCTGTTTGAGGAGGTTGAGCTACTAGTGTGCATTGGATTTCTCCAGGCAATATTGGTGTCATGCACAGATGAGCTTTCAGAAGCATCCCCATAAATTTAAGGCATTTTCACATACTTTGCATCTCTCGAAATTAGGCAAATGAGTGTCAATATGAATTTCAGTATGTAACCCGTGAGTGAAGGTGGTGCCTGAAACCCCTCATAATCCTCAGCGTGAGTGTCTGCAAAAAAAAAGGCAAGACACTGTTCTGTGGGACTGTATATAGCACTTCCTTTGAAACCGTGGACAACTTCCATTCAAACGGCGCGGTACTGCTACGCTCTTTCCGTGTGTCATCTACGGAAAGGAAGATGATGTTCACACACTTACCGAATGTACCGACCCGTGTGATGTTTGTGGCTTTGTGACCAACCATCCGTTCAAGGTTCACAGGCTCAGTGTGGTGCCAGACTTTCCTGACTGGAGAGCTTCTCTTCAGATGGCTACTGTTGGTGTGGGAGCGTTGTTCCAGCCTGTCCTATACAATGATCCGAAAGAGTGCTAGATTAGTGGGAGTCATTCTCTTCCATGCCTCTCCCTTGCAGATGCAGAGAGCAACTGTAGGTATCGATAGCCTTCTTTCTGTATTTAATCCGTTCTCATAAATTCAAAAGAAGCCAGTATGAAGTGAACGGTTTGGCACTATTAAAATTAGCACAGCAACATCTGCCCCTGTAGAATGATCAACATTTTTTTTTCATTGCATTATTGTGAGAAGTAGCATTCGGCACGGGGGTGCATCACACATGCTGTGAAGATGAATGAACGGAATTGCTGAATTCCATCTCACCCATTTCTCTTTGGCAATGATTTGTTTGGGTGGGTTTTTGGTTGTTTTTTTTTTTCTCAGTGAAAATGAAAGGCAGGTAATAATTTTGTCAAAGGATACATCCTTTTCTAAAAGCATGTTAGAAGTGAAAAGCAGGAAGATATACTTTCTTGCCATATATGTAGTTCTTGATAATCAGTATTTTCTTCAACAGCTATGGCTATATTATTTCCTGGGTTTTCTTACATTTGGGTTTTTTTAAAATGTATGCAAATCTTTTCATTTTTAAAAAAAGACACAAAAGAAATTAATTGCAAACATGACTTAAAAGATGTCAAGCGGTTTATCTGTAACATTAATAAAGCAAAGCTGAGATTATTGAAACTATTTCCTAAAGATAAGGACTTAATCTGGTTGATACACATCAAAGTCACTGCTCTGTGAGCTGACAGAACTTCCTTAGCTAAAAACACTCCTGCTCGTACTGGTTGTGAAAGCGATTGTATTCTTGAACAGAATTATTTCTCACTTCAGTCGCCGTTCCTCAGCAACTGAGCTTTCTTTCACCGTTTCTGCTGTTTTGTAATCAATGCCTCAGACATTTTTGCAAAGACACTAGTTCAGCCAGTTCTAGAATCTCTTCTACCCTTTATTAAAATGTTTATTTTGCTATTTTTAACTCATCACTGACATTATCCTTAACTTGATCTTCCTCCTAGACATTTGCTTAACATTGGACTTACCTGTACTTTCTAGTCATGTACGTGCTATGATGTTCCTAACAACTGTCCTGACAGACATTGGCTTTTAACGATACTGCAAGATAATTATTACTTAATCATTGTATTTGATACATAGTCTAAACAGTGACTTCCTACTTCTATCTTAGGACAAGCTATGTAGAAAAAGAACTAGTGAACAGCCAACAAGCCTTCAAGGCCAGGCTGGATGAGGCTTGGAGCAACCTGGTCTAGTGGAAGGTGTCCCTGCCCATGGCAGGGGGGTTGGAACTGGATGGGCTTTAAGGTCCCTTCCAACCCAAACCGTTCTGTGATTGTATGATTCTAACAGTGCAAGGCTTAATGCCTTGGAATAGGCAGAAGTCAGGTGTAAGTCCTTAGTCTGCCTAAGAGAGCCCAGGGCGCTGAAGCCCAGAGAACAGACATGTGCTGTGAGCTTTGCAGGCTCCACATTCATTCTTATGCTGAACAACATCATTCTGGAAACGGTGAGAACACTTGTGATGTAGGAAAACTGTTTTCCATCCAGTTCTACTCACGTATACATGAATATGATTTCCTTTAGCAGTCTAAATTAAGACAGGCTGACCACAGAAATGCTCAGCTTGAATGTTAAACGCTGATTATTTTTTTTTGTGCGTGTTCTGCTTTCAGTGACTTTTTACCTATTCAGACCAAGGAATAGCATGATCCCAAACCAGTGG